GGGCGTGATAGTTAATTACCTTGAAGGTGTGCAGTGGCATGGTCATGCTTGGAGGAGTTGATGTCATAAGAAGAAGAACAAGAAGAAGAACATCAGAAAGAAGTAGCTGGAAGGATGGTGTCATTACGCACGCAGGCTAATGGAGCTCTGGTTTGGTTGAAACGCCAACAACAAGGTAAGCTAAGTTAAGCTTATCGTAGAAAAACATACTAATGAAAAACGCCCTAGATATTTTTATTGTTTTTATTATTTTATTGTTACTAAAGCACAAAGATAATTATTATATGACACAATCCCTCTGATTGAGCTGTCCATGTCGCTTGGCCATGATACTGGAATAACAACAGCGTCACCACTTCTGTTCACTGATGTCATTTTTTTTTAAATAGAAAAAAAAAAGTGATTTTCCCATGTGCTGCCTCACTTAGAGTATTTAACCAAATATGCGCAAAGCCCCCTGGAGTTCTCGCAAATACAATCACAATGTAGTGGAAAAACACATGCGTAACGGAAAAACATGCACCATAGTGATGGTGATAGGATTCATTTACAGCTGGCCTTCCAAGGTGCAGTGCAAAAATATTTACAAAAGTGCAAAAAAATTGTCAAATACTATTTACAAAATGTACAAGGCAAAAAAGAAAATGCATACTAGGCAGGAGCTCCACTATAACTCAACATTCTCACTCACGAGAAAAAAAAAGAAACACAACAGCACTAGAAATGTCAGTTCGGCACTTACTGTTCATGCAACAAACTCAGGTCTCAAAGAAAGAAAGGCTCAGGAAGCCATATGTTAAGCCCTCCTAGCTCCTCCCAGTGGGCGTTATCGATTACATAAGTTTGAAAAAAAAAAAAACTCATTTATTCACATCTAAACTATTTTTACCGTTTTTAACCTTCAGACCCTTTTCTCCAAGTTTTTGCCATTTTAAGTTTTTTACACAAATCAATGGAACATTAATTTTTAGGGATTCATGGCAAGCAACAAGGGAATTGATTCTTCTTGCACCATGTGACCACTTTGACCCTCCATACCTTTCTATTTAACACCCGGAAATCATGCACTCTGTTTTCTCATTTGGAAACATGAGTCGGCGTGATGGCGTGAGTGGACGCCCGGTAAGTAAGTGGAGCAATGAATATCTGTGTGAATGTATGTTTAAGTTAGCCGATAGAGCTCCAAGTGTGCACCCTTGGTTACCCTGTCCAACAGAGAGAGGGGAAGGAAAAGTAGCGCTGTTCGGTTTGTAATCAGCGACGCTGGCGGGGAGGGAAATGTTTGGCGCGCACGCAGGTATGCGTCCATGCGCTTCCGGCAGTCGGTGAGGACGCGTTGAAAATGCGGTAATATTTCTCATGTTCAAATCGTAGTAATATTCCCACATTGATTGACAAAAATGTCTCAAGGGGTGAAAAGTTGGGATGACCGAATTTAGAAGGAGGGTGACTGTGACCATACTGATTTCCCCCTTCACTCCAGTACCAGGTAGACCTACATGTTAACTCTCTGTAGCCTAAACCCACTCTGTGCTAGTTGACAAAAACTTTTGCATTCCCCCCTAATATCCTACTTTTATGTTACCTGGTGACCATTTCTGAATGCCCTTGCATTATTTGTGCGTTTCTTCGTTAAACCTTCCAATAAGAAACAAATTGGTAGCACTGATTCTGTCTGTGAAGTGGAGCTGTAATTATTTACCATCTGATGTTTTGATCTGATCATTCCTCAGCTAATCATTTTGGCTAGAGGATCCCAAAATAACTTGTTATTATATTATCAATCCAAGAACCTGTCATTATAATTTCTAATTACAACAGAAAAAGAAGCAATTCCTGACATTCTTGCCAGCAAAATGACTCTGAGATTTGATCAGCTCATCAAATAAATCATTGAGAGTATTGGCAGAATGAGCTGCAACAGTTGGCCGATTATGTGATTGGTGGATTGAAAAGAACAGAGTCTACAAATGACATTTAAATCAACACATGAATCTGATGGATCCAGCTTCTTCAAGGTGGGACAACCCACTTTTTCCAATCTGAAAATAAAGCTGGGACATCAGCCTGTGTTCTGGAAAAACAGCCTCTGTTAAGCCAGGAGATTTCTCTCTTGTAAATGAACATTATTATCCAGATTATGAACGGTCTAAAGATTCCACAATTTATAAACTACTCCTTAAATATCTACAGATACACAGATAATGAAATAATCACCCATTGAGCCCGAGCTGCATTTTACTCACCCTTGTTTTGCAGCTACTTTGCTTGGAATAAACAATAGGACCATAGCTTTGAGGAAATAAGTGACATTTTTGTCTCCAGACTAAGAACAAACAACACATGTGTGTTTGTTTTCAATGTATTTTGCAGTACAGTAAGAAAATATAGTTGCTCGGGGAATTTCAAACTGTGTCTCTACATCCTTTCCCAAAAGAGAGTTCTGTTTAGCAGTTTCAGCACTGTCTGTACTGCAGCATATGTAGCAAAACATCACAGCTGAGCAAGCTATGGTCAGATCTGATATTTAATCTATAATATTTTTAGCCTGTTACTTCTTCAAAGGTTAAAATCCCTATAAAGACTCATAAGGAATCCCTGTAAAGTACTTTTAGATAGTTGTATAGTTGCAAATCTAATTCACAATCTGCCTGTAAAAGGTATACTGAATGTCTACAGTGGTATTGAAATATATCAGTCGTAGTATTTTCATTTCCCTTCTGAAGTAGATGTAGTAGTCTACAGGTACACACTGGTCAAGTTCCTAACTAATGGGATATTTAGTTCAGTGTTGGGTTATTTTTCTCAGTAAAGTATGCAGAGTGAGTGTTTGGGTAGAAATCAAGCAGCAACCGTCAGTGTAAAAAAATGAAGCCAATTTTGGTTAGATTTTAGGGGTGCCAACTTTTTCAGTACTACATGAGGTACAAAATGTTCTGTTTTGTTCTCAGTACCACAGTGGTGTGATGTATGATCATGGGGTATGAGCAAGACATCACTCTGAAGTTGGGTATGATCTGTAATTTTGATCCACACTGAAGGGAACGTATTTCAGCGGGATTTTGCACTGCTGTTACTGTATGTTTATGTGATGGATGTGAAGGGGGCTGTGATTGGGTTACATGATGTGATCAGTGCACGATGGACTCGTGGCTGTGTTGGATCGGATCTGGAATCAGTAAATTGTTGTCTAGTGATTACAGATAAGTGATGTCAATACACTGGGCGAGAGACGTCCCGTATTGAACAAATCAATCATGCCCAAAATACAAGACATCTCAGCTAAACCATTTGGCAACCCTATTACTTTGGGTTCTTTGGCCTTGTAAAATGCCTTCAGTGGGTCACACTGTGACTGTGATGAGAAAAAACTGATGGGGCTTTGAACCTGCTTGAACCCGAGGACTAAATGTTCCCTCTAAAGACTTAATGATAGAAATGTGAAGAAGGGCAATTGAGTTGATCCTGAGTGGAAGTTTTGGCTCTGGGGTCTTTATATTATTGGATTAAATCACACTGATTCATGAGTGAGCTCACACACACGGCGTCCATTGCTTTGTCAGATGAGGATTTTAATTTAAGCCTCACCTGATGGATGCTGGTAATTTATGCTGATTAGAAATAAAGCATCATATTTTCCTTTATCTGCCCCCACCCATCAGAACGGAGGAAGATTTCTCCAGAAGGGTATGAGGAGAACGGTTGATTAGTTGTAATGTGACCGTCGTACCCCACAGGCTGAAATTTATGTCCACCATTTGAACTGTAGCTGTGTGCGCTGTATACATCAGGGTTGTTAATGAATTTTGTCGCCAGAAGGGAGTTGGTGTCTTCAGTTGTTCTGCACTCTGACAGCTAGGTGTGTGATATCTAACCTTTCAAACTCCAAGTCAGCATAACTTTGATGTTAACACCACCAAAACTTAAAGGGATAGTCCGGCGTAAAATTGATTTAGGGTCAAACACACCGTAACACCGAGTTAGACACCCCCTCAAGAGATGAATGTTGCCGACCGCTTGCTTCTCCAGTTAATACCAACTTAAGTAACAACCGCACATAGCAATACATAGCGGTCTGAAGAGCCATAAACAAACCTCAACCAAAACGCCACTCTATAGCCACAAATAATGCTCAGAACAGCACCTAACTTTATCAACAGTACTTATAGGGTCCCAGCCACAGCACTAGCCATCCAACGTCTTTTTAATTTTGCCTAATTTCTTTAACAAAGAGTCTAAACACAACTCACCTACTCTCTTCCAGCAGCCGCTTGTTTGTACAGAGATCTCAAGCGAGTCCATTACCGCAGCGGGGCGACACAGCTCAAGGAAGAACATTTATGATCATTTCTTCATGGAAAGGCAATCAGACCGAGACACTAAAACAGAAAAACTACCGCGTCTGCAGTCAAAATGATTAATATGGTGATTATTACTTAAAGGAAATGATAAAGAAATGATCATAAATGTTCTTCCTTGAGCTGCGTCACCCCGATGTAGTCTGTAGTCTCGCTAAAAACAAGCGGCTGCTGGAAGAGAGTAGGTGAGTTGTGTTAAGTCTCTCTGCTAAAGAAATTAGGCAAAGTTAAAAACATGTTTGGTGGCTGGGACCCTATATGTACTGTTGATGAAGTTAGGTGCTGTTCTGAGCATTATTTGTGGCTATAGAGTGGCGTTTTGGTTGAGGTTTGTGTGTGGCTCATCAGACCGCTGTGTATTGCTATGGTGCGGTCGTTACTAAAGTTGGTATAACTGGAGAAACAAGCAGTCGGCAACATTCATCTCTTAGAGGGGGCGTCTAACTCGGTGTTACAGTGTGTTTGACCATAACTTAATTTTATGCTGGAATTTCCCTTTAATATGATTTGTTTCCTCATTCCAGAAGACCTATCAGAAATAATGAAACTTTGCTGGTGTTATTTAACCATTAACTCTATCTTGTCTGTTAATGTGCTACAAGCCTGAGTGAAAGTCAGTTTTCTTTTTATTGGTCACTGTACCGCCACATCCCAGCACCTGCTGTCTGTGAGTGGATGAGTTGTAAAGTGAGTTTTGGTGCTGTACTGCAGCAGCATGTGGAGCTGTGTATGCTGCTGTCCTCTCCACCCTGTCTCTGATTGTATGACTGGCAGGTGTCAAGCCTGTCAGGGCTTCCCAGGCTGCTGAGGGTGAGATGTTTGAGGACAGGGAGAGATGGAGGCGGAGGAGGAGAGTCTGTCATTTCATTCAGGCTTTTCTCTTTTCTGACACGCATCCTCACCCCCGTATTGTCTATCAGCATCAGCAGATGACTGACAAAGGCACTGCTCAGATACAGACAGGTCCGCATCAAACACTATGTGTGTACTCTTTGTACTTCAAAGGCTTATCCAAGTGTTAACACACAGCATGCCATGCCAGCAATTTGCACAATCAGCATATCCTCATAGCCGTGATCAGACGTTGCAGTGTTAGCATTCAGCAGAGTTGGAGTGAGCCTGCTGCTTCCTCACTGCCCTCACCTCTTCACACCCAGTGACTGACTCTGCTCTGGCCATCAGCATGCTGACTGCTTTCCAAAAACTTGATTTCACAAATGGAAAAACAGCATCTGCTTTCCTGCAGCTTCACATATGGTGGCCATAGCTGTACATATGAACTGAAGCAGGTAAAAAAAAAAAAAAAAGGCAGGGGGGTTGGCCTCTGGGGACCTTGAACAGAGGGCCTGGCCCTGGGGAATCTGTCAGGCACTCTGATGTGAGGGCCACGCTATCCTGCCAGATGAACCTGCATATGAAATAAGGCCTCAGAGCACACAGAGCTGAGGACTGTGAACATGGAGGGAAGAGGAGGAAGCATGACGGCAGTTTTTATAGCCAGAAAAGGTTAAACCTTACTGCAGTCCAGTTAACAATTCTGTGGCACAGACAACGCTATAGATAATGATGGAAAAATAACATTTGTCTCCTGGCTGCAACCCTTTGCTGCACGTCCTCTGCATTCTTTACCCCCACATTTCTGTCTCTCGTCAGTGTTTCTGTTCATTTATGGCAAAAATAACAGAGAAAAGTATTCTTGGTATTTGTATTCTTTTCCATATGGTTGTCCTGGTTCAGAAAGATTTTGTCTTTATTTCTATAAAAATCCGAAAGTATGATTGAGTCTCTAAAACTCAAAACAAGGGAATGATTCAAAGAAAACACGACCACCATCAACAAAATATTTTCATCCATTAGTTCTTATGATGTCTCTCAATAATATGTTGTTGACTATTGATGGCTGTTGGGGTCAAGTTTCACCAAGTACCAAGGCAAAATCCAGGGCCTAACAGACTTTATATTCAGTTTGTCAAACCTCATCTCTTCATCTTCCTGAATGTCTAACTTGTTGAGGTCAGCTTTTGATTTAATGGCACAAAATCCTTGTATACTTATATCAGACACAACACTTTACTGATATTTTAGGCCCTAAGATATTAACTTACTAATAACTTATTTTACTAACTGTAGGGTGACCATACGTCCTCTTTTACCCGGACATGTCCTCTTTTTTGGGGCTGTCCGGGTGTGTCCGGGGAAGTTAATAAAATCCTTCACATGTCTGCAGTTTTCTATGAGAGTTTCGATTTTGTGTCGTGTGGACTTACTGAGTTAGAAGTGCATAAAAGACACTCGACCCAACCCGAAAAACTCTCAAAATTAAGTTTGTGCGACTCCGTGACTCTGCCCCCGCGTGGTCCTCTTTTTGGGAAGCCAGAATATAGTCACCCTAACCAACCATCAATTTGAGTGCTGACTAACAATGTTTAGCATTTGGTTGATTTCACACTTAAATCCTTACTTTAGTGGGAACCTGCATCTGCTCCAGTTTCATAGGGCGACCAGTTCATAGCCTACGTGTCTTTTTGAATTCTGATATTCAAACTCTGACAAGATACTACAAGTCGTGTTGAAATCAAGGTTTTGTGATAAAGTTTTGCGGTTGACTGTTTAAAGTTTCCTAGCTTAGTTTCCAGTGCCTGAATTTCATGTTTACGTATGTTTTAGTCACTCTATTTCCTTGACTTTCTGGTTTTGCACTTCCATTAATATCAGCCAACCAGTTTTTTGCCTCACTTATTTTGCATCTGAATACTTAGTCAACACTATGTCTCCACCTTGTATCCCAACTGCTGAGATGTTTTAAGGTAAACTTTAGTGTTTTTTTTATTTTTATTGTGGACTGTCTCCCTTCCCCCCACTGCTGGTGTCTCGCTCTAATAGCTACGTTACCGCTGATCACAGCCTGACAGACCATCCTTGGGGAGCCAGGAGCACCGTTTAGAGCTCTTTGGGTGTCAATGCCTCCTGTCTGCTCTAATTCCCACCTCCCTACTGTGCCTCCTACTCTTTCTGTGCACTTCTCCTTACTCAAGACATTCAAATCTGTTACTAGAAGGAGGAAACAGCTCAAAGTACATGTTGAAGGGTAAATACCCTGGTAGTCCAGGGTTTTAACCCTTTTTAGAGTGTGTTGCTGTCTTTTAAATAAACATATAAACACACATTTTCTCTCACATGCACATTCCCAGTAACCAGAGATTAGTATCAATTTACACCTGAAGGCCACTCTGAGTAGAAATGTGTTATGATTGCTAATTGGCTTGTTAGTATGAAAACAAAGCAGGGTTTTTTTTTTTTTTGTATCTGCTGAAGGGCTAAATTACCAGGAAACAAACAAGTGGAGGGGAACATGTGAATAAGGATGTTTTTACATGAGCATCTGTGGATACAGCTGCTGCTCGCTCCGACCATCCTGCTTTCTCCTCTCTGTTTTTTCTCAGGCTCATACAAACAAAGCCAAACAAGACAGCCGCCTCATGTGCTCGTTTCGAGTAAGTGTTATAATTTATACACCCAGTTGTTTCTGACACCAGTTCATGCCTCTCTTTTTGCAGCGACTGAGAGCCACATCCATCATCCCGATGATGTTACCTCAAACAGGTCTCTCCTTTTTACGAGTCGGTTTTTATTCGAGGAGCAGCGCAACAATGAGCCAGCTCGACTGTACAGGAACAACAAAGTGGCAGTTTGAGGTGAGCACAAGCATATCCTCCGGTGATGATGATGATAAATAGCACTCATGGGAGTTTTTCCCCTCTTCATTGTAGTTTAACTTGAGAACTGAAGCTGCCATGCTAATGATAAAGCACTCACTTTCTTCCGCAGTTTCTCTTACGTCCTCTCCTCTCCTCCGTGTCCCCAGAGAAATGTGTTTACCTCTGCAGACACCTCACTCTGCTGGAGCCAGAATGAGATTCAGGGGCCTTTTGTCCCTATCAGCTTTTCCTATCAGGCTAAATGCTCTCTGGAGACGGGGCTTATTACATGACATGATCCTTTGAGTAGATAAATGGTCGTCCGTGTCACAAGCCGGACCCCGCTCTTGTGGGGGTGGACGGGGTTCAGGAGACAGACAGCTTGGGCCCCAAGAGATGAAAGGAGCCCGTAGCCTTACTGACGTTTTAATCAAAAACAGTTAGCAGTGAATCAGTGTGTTTGCAGACAGAGATGCAGGGAGGCTTTTCATTGCTATCCATTGAAAATATGCAAGGATTGAAATGCAGACCCTGTTGACATATAATTTACCTGCTGTCAGTCTGTATGGGCCCCTTCTACCATGAGCTCTTGTTGTGATCCTTTTCTACCACTAACACTGCTTAAGCCTGACACTCACACACCCCTCCACCCTGTCCATGCCACCTGTTTGAGCCACAGCTATTAGTGTAGAGCACCTTATAAAACTATTATCTAATCAAATTACTTTATTTGACAATATATCACAAAATTTTAATTGCCATCACTCACATTTATTTAAAAAAATGTAAATAATTAATTAAGACTATACTATTTATACTTTGCAGCATGAAAAATGCATCACAACATCTTTATGTTTGCAAAGCGGAGTCCCCTTCTGGTGCATATATGAGTGTTACCTCAGTTTACCTTTGTCAAATCCCATTTCTCCCTCAGGGGAAGAATGTTTAGAGAATCTCAGGAATCTCAAACATTTGCATTTGTGTTAAATAATTCATTTTGCATGCTGTATCCTGAGTTAAACAAAATCGGAGAACAACTCTCCACACTCAGATTTACAGGGCTAATTGTTCAACACACTCCGCTGGGTTTTTAAAGATGTTGTCACAGAGTTTTCATCAAACATTAACGCCTGGTTCTAATGATTTCATGCAGTTTGCTCTTAACACCTCGCTTTCAGTGAGACAAAAAAAAAAAACATTAAAACTAATCATAAATTAGAAAATGATAATGGGAGGAGGGAGAGGGAGTGAAGGCCCTGCTCCCCGACCGGTCATAAGTTGATCATCTTAAGCTCAGAGCTGCAGGTAGGCGCTGACAGCTGCTTAATTTGGTTTTGTCACCGGGGTGACTTAATCCTGTAACGGGCCCTGGTGACAGCGGCCTCACAGACGGCTGAGAGACAGAATGGCACTCTAGTTGCCCGTTTATGGATGCAGCAATAGAAACCAAGGTCACTTCAATTAACTACCAAATTACAATTTAAACGATAATACTAATCACTCACTTTTTGCCCTAGCAAGAAGCTACTGGCTGTCATGTTAATTTAAGGCTGAGAGGGAAAATGAACATTTCCACCTCCGCCTCACAGTCAGGGCCTGACTCTGCGGTGCGGTTTCCATTTACTCTGGATGACGTTACAGTCACTATTTCCAACATCACATTCTCTCTTTCTCAGTGAAAATTCTCCCTCATTCAACCTTGTATTTCCTTTTAGGGATTTTAGCTTCAGATGTGTGTGTTTGTATGTATTCTCTGCAGTTGTTTTAAGAAAGTAAGCACTCGTCCTGCTGCAGCTTTTCTCTCTTGAAGCTTTAAGTTTCAGGGAATAGTTACATCTTCATTTCTTTCTAACTCTTGCATTGTTTTCTCGTCAATAGTAGGTGAATTGTCCTCAGGGTCAGGGGTCAGTTTAGCCCCTTTGTCAAAGAGCCAGGAAGAGAATAAGAAAGGAATATAGACTTTAGAGATTTTAATACACTTTGCCGACAGAAAGACATTTTGTTTAAGCTCTCTTTGGCAGACACAACACTTTACGTGTTACTCAGCCTGCAGCTTTATATAAGCCACAAACACACACAATTTCTTCATCTAAAACAAGAAGCAGTCAGCCTGAAGCCTTATTTTAAAGGTGCACTGTGCAATATTTAGTAGCTTTCAATCAATCAATCAATCAACTTTATTTCTATAGCACATTTAA